GCTGATGTAGATGCAGCCGCCGGCATCTGTGGGCAGTCCCTGCTTGCTGCTGCTGACACAGCCGCCTGTGGGCAGTCCCCGCTCACTGCCATGGTACCCACCCCGGTCTCAGGACACACCAGTCATTCATGGCCACAGCCGTATGATTGTGATTGCAGCAGCAGCAATGGCAAACCGAAGGTGCCACTGCCCCAGTGTGGGGCCAGCCACCATGGGCACCCTGCCACATTCTTACACTGCTGCTGGTATTCATCAATCTGGACTACTTCATAAAACTAATGATTTAGTAGTAAACTATGACCTCACAAGACCAATCAGCCTGGTTTGTGTGTGTGGGTATGTACTTCTCTGTCTCTGTATTTTGGAATTTTTAATGCTTTAGAACTAGACCATACGGTTCTCTTACCTGGCTTGCAACTCCAGTGTTCGCTCTTTTCCAGACACTTGGAACGTGTGTGGATATTCTTCATTGTGAGTTTCTATAATCTTCATACCATCAATGCCAACCCTTGTTCGAACAGAAAACTTTGATCCCACCAAGCTGAATTTGGGGACACAGTACAGCAACATGTTGTTGAACTGTAAAACAAAAAAACAACCCCCTCAAAACTGACACATCATTAATTCAAACGAAGACCAGGCATTGCACAATATATTATTAAAAGGCGAATGATACCAGCTACTTACAAGAAAAAAAAAAAAAACTTGAGTGTGCAAGTAACTGAGCCAACCTGATCACAGTTCAATATTGAGAATATGTTCAATTATGGAGTTAAGACAACTGGATAAATGGTCTTTTCTACAGTGTATAACTTTAAATTTATATTACATTAAAATTACTTTAGCTCTGAGGGAATTTTTAGTCTTGTATCAGAAGTAGATTCATGTTCCTTCACAATTATGTTAAGAATAAATAAAATCCACAAAACGAAAAAAAAAATGATGAGACCCAATAACAAAGAGGATGCAGACTTATTTCAAATGTAGTGCTTTTAAATAAATTTTAAAAGATCTCAAACTTCATCCCAGAGTTAGAGCCATTAAATTAGAGCCATAATGCTTAACAAATTTTCTTGTTATTAATTATTATTATCACTTATTTAAATGATACTTCATAGATGCATAGTCTCCCCCATTAAAATGATTTAAGGACTTTTAAATATTTTTTAGAGCTTCAGTAGTCATACCGAAAAGGGGACTGCTTATCTCTGGAATACATTTTAAAACCACTTGCAAAAAAGAATCATTATGGACTTGGTACAGCAGCTGGTGAAGGATTCTGCACAATTCCTTTGATGTTCTAAGCCACATTTATGTCAGCTGAAATCTGTATCGTAGATATGTTGCATTTGAATCTCTCTCTAAGCATATACATCCCTCATTTTAATCTCATGTCTAGCCTGGTTCAAAGACTTCTGCTATAGTCATTTATTCCTTTGCTGAAAACACAAATGAGAAAAAAAATCTGCCCCTCAGGAACTATGTATTTCACTACCCAAAAAACATGGGCCAGCCAGTGGGTCATGAACAAGCCGCAAAGGTCAGGACTTGAATTTGTGATGTTGGGGTTCTAGAAGGAGTGAACTGCATCAAGCTTTCATAAGGGAATTAAAAAGCATCATAGAAAAGAACCAGAACAAAAATCACCGAGCAAAAACGATGGTGGAAGTGAGAAGCATTTTTAGAGATGATATAAATTGTCTAGTAATGCTACTTTTCTATGCATACAGCACTTACTTGGATAGTAATGTAAGAATGTCAACATCTACTTTATTGTTACTAGACTTGTAAAATACATGCATATTCAGTTAGACTGCTTGCACAGATGAATAATTTTATGCCAATTCATTATTTTAATACAGTTTAATAGTGTTATGTTAGCTTAGACTCTTTAGCATGTGTTTCCTTTTCATAAAACAGAAGGAAAACACTCGTCCTATGCCCTGGGTGGCTCTTAACATCACAGAAATTCTATGAATAGAAATGAATAGCTACTGTGACAGCAACTATAACCATAAAAGATTTCCTGCAAGATGTGTAATTGGACCTGAACTGAATTTTATTCAAAACAATGTATCCTTGTCATTTTTCTCTATATTGTATATGTAATCTTTCTGCAATGTTAAGCAAGGAAAATCCTGGCACAATACTTACTAAGAATAAGTATCGCTCTTGGGCTGATGTATTACGAGCAGCTAGTTTAAGGATCTGTCCTTCTTTGATAAGCTCATTCGAGGGGTTGACTATATCTTCTTCTTCTCCCAACATCTCGTATATCTCCAACAGCTTTTTTAGATTCTCCTGTTCAACCAAAGCAAAATTAAACAGTTTTAATTAATTGCATTTATGAATAAGGGATCCTATCAGTGTCAAAAGCTGATTTTGTTTATTATTATCTGACTCATAAGAGTATTGAGATCCTTATGTTTAAATACAGAGCCATTCAATTTAGCTACCAGTATTCAAACCCTGAGCCCAAAATGTTTTTAAAAGACTAAAATTAATATAACCAGTATTTTTAAAAGCTTTTTACAGGAATTCCAAAACATCTCACAAATATTTAATAGATTATATACCATAATCCCTCTGTAAACAGGATCTTCATTTTACAGATGCAGAAATAAGCTCTGAAGGGTTAAGTAACCATTCATAAGGTCACACAGTTCATCTAAATTAGGAACGGAACCCAACTTTTCCAACTTCCACTCCCAAGGTTTAATTACATGACCATATTTTGCCTAGCATGATCACTGATCATAAAGGTTGCCTATACATGTATGGGGGGGGGGGGGGGGGGGGGTTAATTAGAGTGGTTCTCAGAGAGCCACTGGGATACCCGTCACGTGTATTAAGCCCCTGCACATTTCAAAACAGCTGCAGGATGCTTTATCTAAAGCTCATTTGATGAGGTTTAGATAAAGTGCCTTCACAGCCATTTTGAAAAGCTCGTGTACTTAATATATGTGATGGTTAGGCAACGCTGGGACGTTCTAATTAGAATGGGGAGCAGACTCGATTAATCTGTCTGCTCTGACATTCTAATTAGAACATGAACAAGCACATCGATAGGCACCCAAAAAGGCTAATAGTGACCTCTATACTTTGGAGTAGAGAAACCAAATTTTGCCAATTCACCTGTTAGAAAAATTGGTATTCTACAGATTTGGTAAAATTCAATTCACAGAGCATCTTAATTTACATGGTACTTAATGTACAGTACTAAGAACACAGGGCTACAAAAAAAAAGAAAACGCTTAAAAGCCACCTACCATCTTTCGGATTGCACTATTGGAGTGACTTGCTGCTGTGGATATAATCTCCAGGGATTCTAGACACAAGAATGGCAAACAAATTAAATTTCATAGTTATGTGCTGTTAATACTCAAACCACTAGCTCAAACCATGAAAAGCATGCTTACAAGTTTTCTAAGGAAGTCAGACTCCACAAACTTCTCTCATTATCAATATAAAGTAAATTACAGTTTAGCCCGCTAGAGTTACAGAAGTTAGAGCTAATGGATTCAGGAAAACTAAACTGGAATACTGGCCAAATTTAACCAATTATTTCCAGATACTTGTAGACTGAAATTTTAAACTTAATTAATTTGAGAGCTTTTACCTAAAACATGATTCTAGGTGTCATGGTTCCTCCAGTCAAGAAACAGAAACATGCACTGTGACTTCTGTAGTCGGTGAAACCAGCTCAAATTATTTGATCAAGTTCACTGGCAAATATTCCTTAATTTTAACAAGTCACAATCCATTCTTACAGAATTTAAGCATGGAAAAATAAAACGTGAAAATGAACCCACTTTTTCACAGAAACTTGTATTCTTAAAAACAAAATATGGAACCCAATTCCAAGGGGTTTTGTTCCTGGCAAAAGCATTTCTGTATAAAATGGTAAACAAAATGTATTCCTACACCAAAACACAAATTTAATCAAAATTGTGTGCATTGGGGGGGGGGGGAAGGAGAGAATCATGGGTAACAAATAGAATGTCCATGCATTGCATTGTGTTCCTAGAGAGAAAACAGGGGTAAAAAATGAACTGTCCAAATGCAAGCCCTGAAATCAGCGTGAACCACAGATCGCTTTTCAAAGAATCCTACATCCTCATACCAGAAATCATTGTCTAAATTTTTCAGCACTCCTTCATTCCTTCCTCTTATGCTTGCTAGATTATCTACATTTTACAGCATCCTTTCATTACTGCTTTTATTGCTATATATTAAACCAGCGCACAATCCAGAAAATACTTACTTTCAGCATCTTTCCAGTCTAGGGAATCTTGAGGCAATTTCCTTAGGTAGTCCTTCAGAAGCATCTCATAGCGTGGTATACGTTGTACTGGTTCTAGCATGTGATGTTGCAATGTCAAACTGCCACAGACTTTTTGCTTCTGTAGAATTGTAAACACAGTAACATCCTCTCAGCAGGTGAGAATATTTTTTCATCCCATGATAAAACAAGGCTTTGGCAGGTCTAACACACAGGAATATCATATTTTATAAAGGGCTACAAAGTAGATTTCATATACAAGCACTTGCAAAGGTATGAACTGGATTCTACTACTCTATTGACTCAAATAATTACAATTCTATTTGCTTTAAGAATAAATAAGTTGGCACTTGAAGCATCAAGAACTAGTGTATCTTTTTATCCAGCAAAAAGATTTCTATAAATAGAAGGATCTAGGAACACAATGTTTTTCCTTAGATTTTTGAATATTTGTAACTATTGTGCTCAAATATCTAATTAGCTTAACATAAGAATAACGGTCATTAGACTCTGCTATTCATGCAAAATAAAGTTCAATAGCAACCAGCTATAAAGTTAGTACACATTTTTGAGGCCTACGCTTGCTAGCACCGCTGCTGAAAGAGACTTGGGGATCATGATTGACCGCAAGATGAACATGAGACACCAATGCGATCTTGCAGCTGGTAAGGCAAACAAAACCCTGGCTTGCATCTATAGATGCTTCTCAAGTAAATCTCAGGATATCATCCTCCCACTGTAACTCGGCCTTGGTGAGGCCGCAGCTGGAGTACTGCATCCAATTCTGGGCTCCACAATTCAAGAAGGATGTTGAGAAGCATGAGAGAGTCCAGAGGAGAGCCATGCGTATGATCAGAGGGCAAGAGAACAGGCCTTATGAAGACAGGCTGAGAGCCATGGGACTCTTCAGTCTGGAAAAACGCAGGCTCAGGGGAGACCTGGTGGCTGCCTGTAAGTGCACAAGGGGTGTACATCAGGATCTGGGAGAACATCTGTTCACCAGAGCGCCCCAAGGGAAAACAAGGACCAATGGTCCAATGAGGGAGGTGATGCTCCCCCTCTATGCAGCATTAGTCAGGCCGCAGTTGGAGTACTGTGTCCAGTTTTGGGTGCCGCACTTCAAGAGGGACACAGAGGATCTGGAGAGGGTTCAGAGGAGGGCCACTTGCATGATTAGTGGTCTCCGTGAAAGAACCTACGAGGAGAGGTTGAGAGATCTGGATCTCTTCAGCCTATACAGAAGACAGCTGAGGGGTGACCTTGTAGCTGCCTATAAATTTATCAGGGGAGGTCAGCAGGGAATTGGGGATGTGCTGTTTACCACAGCGCCCCAGGGAGTAACTAGGAATAATGAGTGCAAACTAGTGGAGAGTAGATTTAGGTTAGACATTAGGAAGACATTTTTTACAATAAGGGTGGCCAGAGTCTGGAATGGGCTTCCAAGAGAGGTGGTGCTATCACCTAACCTGGAGGTCTTCAAGAGGAGGCTTGACAATCACCTGGCTGGGGTCGTCTGACCTCAGTCCTCTTTCCTGCTGTCACAACCCAAAGGGTGTGATTTTTGTTTTTGTGTGCTTCGGCACTGCTAAATTGTTCCCGCTAAATTGCAGCTTCCTTGCACGGTGGAGTTTTCTGCTGCAAAAGAGAACCCCGGTGCAAGGGAGAATTTCCCGCCAATTTGAAGCTTTCTTTGCAGGGTGCATTTCTTTGTTGCAGCACAGAAATGCTCATTGCAAAGAGTTCCCGCCATTTGTATGCTAATTTGGGTCCCATTATTGTCCAGTTCTAAATTATTCACACGTGGCGGCTAGTGATTGGCTTGCTAGCCGTATAAAAGGCTTAAGTGGTTTCCGCCCAAGTTGGAGGACTCCACGAACAAGGCGCGCAACGAACCGGACCCACGGAGCCTAGCAAACTTCGTGTAGCAGAAGGACCCACGGAGCCTAGCAAACTTCGTGTGAGTCCTTGCCGGACGACTCCAGAGCTCTTCTACCCGGGTTCGAGTCCTGCAGGTTTATTTTCCCGTCGCCGAAACCCATTGCGACGTACCCTTGTATTTTATATCTTCCCATCACCGGAACCCTTTGCGACGTACCCTCATGCCCTGCAGGTTCGAGTTTTGTTTTCTTTTCTGTCTGTAACCGCAACTCAAGCAAGTTTTCCAGCCTGCACCACTGCCATCTCGGTGTAAGTAAACAATCTTTAAAACTACCAATACGCGTTTGTGCCTAATTCCAGCTCGGCGGCCTCCCTCTCCGACCCGGTGTGCCCGGGCTGCTGGCCACAGCCCGCGTGCAGCGCGGAAAAGGGCTCGGGTCGCTCCCAGCCCGCACACCTGCCAGGGCAGGGGGTTGGACACGATGATCCATTGGGGTCCCTTCCAACTCTACAATCTATGAATCTATGGTCATAAACTCCTACAAGACCATTTTAGGTTGGACATAAGAAAAAATGTCTGTAGTGATCAAGCCCCCAAGACCTGAAATAGACTCCCTCCAGATGTGGTGCAGGTACCTATTCTGGACTCATTGAAGAAATGCTTGGATGCTTATCTTGCTGGGGTCCTTTGTCCCTAGCTGACTTCCTGCCCCTGGGGCAGGGGGCTGGACTTGATGATCTTCAAGGTTCCTTCCAGCCCTAACGGATATGACATCTATGAAACTTTATAGATGGTTGGAGCTTTTTATTGTGTGATTGCTACTCTGCACATGTAGATGGTCTCAAGGAAATTCAGGGAATCATAGAAAATTGGGGTTGGAAGGACCTCAGGAGGTCATTTAGTCCAACCCCACCTGCTGAAAAGCAGGACCAGCCCCAACTAGATCATCCCAGCCAAAGCTTTGTCTAGCCAGGTTTTCAAAACCTCCAAGGATGGAGCTATCACCACCCCTCTGAGTAACCGGTTCCAGTGCTTTACTACTCTCCTAGTGAGAAAATTCTTCCTAATATCTAACTTAAACTTCCCTTGCTGCAACTTGAGACCACTGCTCCTTGTTCTGTTATCTGCCATCACTAAGAACAGTCTAGCTGCATCCACTTTGGAACCCCCTGTTCAGGTAGTTGAAGACTGCTATTAAATCCCTCCTCAGTCTTCTCTTCTCTAGACTAAATAAGCCCAGCTCCCTCAGTCTTTCCTCATGAATCATGTTCCCCACCCCCTGAACCATTTTTGTCACCCTCCTCTGGACTCTCTCCAATTTGTCCACATCTTCTCTATAGTGGGGTGCCCAAAAGCTGAACACAGTACTCCAGATGCGGCCTCACCAGGGCTGAATAGAGGGCAATTGTCACTTTCCTTGACCTACTGGCAACACACCTACTAATGCAGCCAAGTATGCTGTTAGCCTTCTTGGCAACAAGGGCACGCTGTTGGCTCATATTCAGCTTATTGTCCACTGTAGCCCCCAGGTCCTTTTCTGCAGAGCTGCTGACCAGATAGTCAGCCCCCAGCCTGTAATGGTGCATGTTCTATCCTAAGTGCAGGACTTCGCACTTGTCCTTGTTCAGCCTCATGAGATTCCTTTTGGTCCAATCCTGCAATTTGTCTAGGTCTCTCTGAATCCTAGCCCTACCCTCCAGCGTATCTGCTATTCCCCCCACCCCAGCTTGGGGGCAGGGGGTGGGGTGGGGGGAATAACTACCCTCACTGAGTGGGCAGTTAACTTCTGCTAACTTCCTGAAGGTGCACTCTATACCATCTTCCAGGTCCTGGGACAATTAACCAGTGAACTGCATGATATCTGTAACTTGTAGAGGGGGCCATTATGATAGTACATATGAACAAGGCACAGTTGTCTTCGAAATTAGACTGTAATAATATACACATGTATAAGAAATGCTATCTTTCAGTGCATAGTTATCTATGATTTAAAAACCAATAGTAGCTATTTTAGAAACATTTCATATATTAGCACTAAAAGTAACACACAAAAATTGCTTGCTGAGGACCACTGTATTCTGCTAAAATTGTATTGCACTGTAGGATTTTTTTTTTTCAGCTCTGTAAACTGGATAGGTTACCTGTGCTAAGTCTCAGCCAAAAAAAATTAAACCATCAATAGAGGGCAGTGGAGTGATGAAATTAGACCCTTGAAGAAAGAAAAAAAAAAAATTCATTCCCATGGTTGTCAGCTTCACCTTTAGATGCTCAACACTTGGGACTGAACATCTGCACCAAAACTGGATGTTCTAGAAAACTGCATTCAGGCTAGCTAGGATGAAAGTTTGGGAATGTACAGGTTGGTTGGCTGTGACGTGCAATTAAAACAAAAAAGTGTTATTTAATTTTTATATCTCAAAAAGAGGCAAAGAAATGTATCCTCTTAAGCTTTTGCATTTATGAGTTGCTCTAAATAATGTTTCACTGAAGAAAAAAAAAAACATGAGCAAAGGGTGGATATAAGAAAAACCCCCAACATTAAGTGGACAAAACAGAAGCCATGCCTTCTGCTAAAGGTCTTGGAAGAAAGTTTTAAAGAGGAAGTATAGTATCGTAAATTCAGAATATACATATATACTGTGTACACACACATGCACACACTACCCATGTGCACACATGCTACTTGAGCTTTTCCATAATCCCCTGCATTACCTGAATGTCCTGAATAATGGATTTAAATAGAGGTGACCGTTCAGTCCACGTTTTCACTAATTCCATTGCATTATCGAAGTTCTTCACGTACTCTCCATACATCTTGAGGAAAGGAGCCAACTTTTGCAGAATATCTCCAATTCTCGGAGTTATAATCCTACAGACAAGAATACAAATATAACCTTACATTACGTAGTCTGCCCAGTAGAAGAAAATTCCTGGTTTAAAACCTAAAAATAACAAGAGATCTGTACTACGTGGCACCAGTTCTGAGATCCAAGTTACACAGCCATTCAAATCTGGCTATACACAGTGCATGCACTGGCCACTCCACAGCACATTGCAGATCCTTGAGTGGGCAGAACAAACAGCTCAGACACTGGAACGAACATGGGCATGGGAAGAAAACCATGGGCCCACTGGTCCGATTTGGCCCATGGGCTAGCTCCAGGTCACTCATCTGGCCCACAGGGACATGAGTTTTACTCCCCTAATTTAGAGAGTTCACTATTTGCTAAACAAGAACTAGTGTGCAGACACATAAAATGCGCGCACACACACACACACACACACACACAGGTAAAATGAGAATTTGTAAATATTCTTATTCCCCTATTTCCCTTTACTGAATAGTATTTCTCTGAGCTGCCCTTTCAAGAGAGATATCACACTTCTCAACTGAAATGAAGACTCATGAAGTCAATTACTTCAGATCTGTTGGAAAGTTTTAGGTTATGTCAGGGTGGATACATGACCGGTTAGTTATGCAAATGGAAACACCAATTTTGTACACCAATGGATCTGGAGCAGATAGATCAGGGGTTTTCAATGTTTTTTTTAATACGTGTACCCCTTCTGACTCAAGGTTTCAACTCCTGTACCCCCTTATATTTTTTCTTGTTTTTAAGGGTGGGGGGGAGCAGATTGAGGCTCCCGCAGTGAAGGAGGCAGTGAAGCTGGGGCATGTGCTGCACATCCAGGGCAGGGCAGGGTGCGGGACGGAGCTGCAAGCAGCTCATCTGGGGTGTGTGGCTCCTGCCGCCATGCGCAACCTGGAAAGGCATGCGGGGCGTGTGCCCCTGCATCTGCGCACGGACTGGGGCAGGCTACCCTGGCAGGAGTGGGGCTGGGACAGGGGCAGGAGTTGCCCAGCCAGGGCAGGGCATGGGACTGAGTCGCATGGGAGTGTGGGGTGTGGGGGCAGCTTCTGCTGCTATGAGCACCCCCAGGAGGGCATGGGGGGCATATGCCCAGGATCTGCATGCAGGGTGGGGTGGGCTGCACTTGGGGCAGGCGGCGGTGGCACTGGGAGGGAGGGTTGGAGGCTATTGTGAATTCTGGAGTGGCTGCAGCCCCCCCTGTAGCCCCACTCCCACAGGGTCCTGCAGTGAGGGAGGGAGTGTGGCAGGCACTGCTCAGCTGGGAGAAGCATGGGATGGAGCCATGTGCAGCTCATCCAAGGGGTGTGGCTCCCGCCACCGCAGACAAATATGGGCGGGGCGAGTGCCCGAGGATTTCCACGCAGGGTGGGCTGGGGCTGAGACAGCGCTGAGCTCTTCCCAGTGTGGGGCCGGGTCTGGCTGCACTTGGGGCAGGCAGTGGCGGAGCTGGAAGGGGGACTATGGGAGGGGCTACAGCCACTCCAGAATTCACCATAGCCCCCACGACCCCCCTCCCAGCGCCACCGCCAACCACCCAGAGTTCAGTGCAGCCCAACCCCTCCGCTGGGAAGAGCCCGGCACAGCTCTGGCACCAGCCCACAGCACCAGATCCATGGGTGCGCACAGCAGCAGCACTGGGAGGGGAGGCCAAACAGGGGGTGGGGCTCGCACGTGGCCACCACCACCACCGCTGCCCCTTTGGCCACGCGCCACGCCACTTTACCTTCAGGCTGCTGACAGGCCTTGCGCTCAGCCAACCACATGCTGCCAGGGGTGGGCACAGACTGCACTTCCTCCCCCGCCATTCAGACCCTTGCGGCTCTGTGGGAAGGGGCTGGCCATGGTGCTTTCTCACTCTCGGCTATTGGCTGAGGGTGGCAGCTCAGCAGCCAATCAGGAGAATGAGCTGGGGTGGGGGGGAGGCGTCACAACGTGCCGTGTGGGGCCAGCAGCGCCTGGTGCGCACCTCCCTCTACCCTGGGTAAGAGGCTAAGTGTGGAAACATGCTGGGGGAGATGCCGCTGTGCCCCAGGGCATGCTCCATCTCCACCTGCCTGCACGTACCCCCTATGACCTTTCTAAGTACCCCTACGTGTAACCCCGAGACAGATAATTATTCTAGAGTAGCAGACTGCAAACTGCTGCTATAGCACTTTGCTGTGAGATGGCAGAGAGCAGGTAACAGCTTAAGCAAACAGCTAGGGTAATCTTAGGTAGTGAGTTGACCTTGACTGGAGCTGTGACACTGCCTCTATGATGATGTAACCTGCACCAATGCATGGGTTTCACTGGGACCTCAAACTGCAAACTCTCCTGTTAACTAGCCTGTTTGCCTCAAACAGATGTATAACAAACAGGGTTCTGAGAGTAGGGACAGGAGGCTTACCCATGCAAGGAACTCCCAAACAGTCCCTGGCTGCACTACTGCTGCTGCTACAACATGCTCTGCTGAGGCGGCAGCAGCAGGGTTTCTGTGCGCTGGCTGCTGCTGCAAGAGCAATGCCATGGAGCTGCTCTTGCTGCCAAGGCATATACTTCATGGGGAGGGGTCAATTCTGGAGTACCTCCTAAGTTGGCACCCAGGTCTGGTGCCCCTCTTACCCACCCCTAGTTATGCTATGGGCTTTGCATCCTTAAATTACAACATTGCATACATGAGCTAGATTCTGCCTTACAAGAGGCATTACAATAACCTCTGAAAATATATTCATTTGCACTCATTCCTATATTCCAGTGACAGATCCACCAGATAGCATGCAATCTTCTAAGGCTTATTTTATTCAGCAAAGGACTTCACGATGCAGGTAGGTTCATTGAAGCCAAGGGAACTACAATTCACATGCTGAACACTAGGGATAATGGCCAAATCAGATGCCAATGAACAGGAGGGTACCAGGTGTTTTTCCACCACAGAACCTACAGGGATTGGAACTTGTTGGTGAGAAAGTAACTTTTTCAGGGTAGTCCCTGAACAATGTTGATATCTGTCAGTAATAAAGAAGTTAGTGATCACTTTAAGCCACCACTTACCATTCTTGCATTCTTTTCTCAAGCTCTGGAAGCAAGAATTTGCTGTGGAAGGCATTGATTGATGAAATGTTAGAGAAGATTTTATTAACCACTTCAGCAGGAAATGAACCCCGGTTAGCTTCCGCCAGGAGTTTGGAATAAAACCCCTGCGAAAGGAGAAAATCCCCAAAATTAACAGTATGACATGCATTCCTCTTCTTATTTAGTTCAGGGGGTGACAACCTTTTAAGGCAGTGAGCCAAACTGACCCAGTTCAGGTCGAAGGTGGGATGGCAGATAGGAGGACAGGTGCTAGGACCCAGGCACCACTGCTGCTTTTTTCCCCCACCAGTGGCATGGGAAATGCACCTGCAACTGCTCTTCTTTCTGTGCTGGCAGGGGAAAGCACCTGCCACCAGCATGAGGAAGCACCTGCTACCACCACTTTTCCCCACACCAGCACAGGGCAAGTGACGGCTGTTAAAGCCCCCACCATGGAATGCCGCTAAAGCCCCATATCCATGGGCTATATCAAAAAGCTCTGTGGGCCAGATCTGACCTGCAGGCTGTAGGCTGCCAACCCCTCTTTTCATATACAGCACACTTTTCTCCTCCCCAAACCTCTCCCCCTTCCAAGCTTTCAGGATAGCTGCTTCAGCTTCACCTCCTTCAGAGCCTCAGAAACCTTTGAAACTCCCCTTATCACCCTGTCCAGGAGCAAAAGAAGGAGAGGAGAATGGAGCAAGTCGTTTCTAGAGCCCCCTAGCCACCAATGATGTTGCTACTTTGCTTTTTTTCAGTTTGCACTCTAGGCTTTCAATCTGACAGAGGAAGAGCTTGTCTGACCTTTCCCTGCCCTTCATCCTATTCATTTCCTGCCTTCCCCACTTCCATACTCTTCCCTCACCACCTTAACACTTCTTTGCTGTCCAAAGAACAGTCTCACAAAACATTAAAAAAGTATGTTTTCCAGCCATACTGCTGACCACTTTGCTTGTACACTGCCTTCCTAAAATGCAAGATCTCTGGAGACCTTGTATTCATATCTAGCATTTAGCAGAACACAGCTCCAGTGCCCATCAGACCCTTTGGTACTACTGCAAACCCTTGTGTCAGTTCAACATATAAGAGATACCATCTCCTAGAAGCACTCAGAAGTTCAGTTGTTGTGGTCTGAACAAAGGATTTGCTGCCAGGAACTCTGGATAATCCCACTTTAAATGTTAAGCACTTAATTTTTTTAAGCCATATACTTTAAGACTTGCCTGCATTGCTTTGGTTTTGTGCAGAATATTAGCGAATGTTGGTAAATATATATCAATGCTTATATAAAATATTAATATAATTTGGTATTTTTATACTTCAGTACATTTAAAACCAGAATACTCAGTCTTTCTTTTTTTCCTTTCCTCCCACAACACTGGTCACTTCAAGTGCTGTCAGCCAGCTAATTTGTCAGAATTTTGTTCCACTTTTTATTAGCCTGCAGAAATGCCCCTGAAAATTGGGATAGTGAAAGTACTTCCATGTTGCCCAGAAGAGCCTAAAAGAAAATTAAACATTTTACCATAATGTTTTTACTTCTCTAAAACAAAAGCTCTAACTTGCAGAATGGGTTCCTTTCTATACAACGTATTGATGTAGGACAACTATGTAAATTGTCTCTCGTAAAACAGCACTGGAAGTCCAATGCAGTTTCATAGCTAGCTGCTAGACTTTTCAGTCATGAACTCTTATCAACAAGCCCACATATTAACCCAGGAGAATGTAAAGATGCAGTGAAGATGAAGAACAGTGCCAGTTACGCAGCAATGTATGACACAAGCATCTCTCTGGTTAGGAAGCTCAAAAGAGATAATTTGAGAGCTGCAGATTACCTAAAATTTAAAGAAATGACAAATACAGTTTGAGGCTGTGAAAATACAAGGGCTCTTTTCTTTTGCCACAGCAAAATTAATTCTTATGTACTGGGAGTTAGTTATAACCTGTGGTGAAGAAAAGAGAACACAGATGGGGTATCTAATATCAGCGATGTCAAATCACCTAACACAGTGCAGTGTCTTATATTGTTTGTAATCTCAGTACAGTTCTTAGGGCACAGAGAATTACAAACACAGTCCACTATAAACAGACACACTTGATGGCAGTTTCAGCACAGCCCAAGTCATAAATCAGCATAGAGGGAAGATTGCCCCTGGCCCTGCTGGTGGGGAAACCCGCACTGCTGTTGCTCACTTGGTTCTACCTGGTTTACGTCAATAAGCGACTGATATTCTTGGCAAACAGTAGGGCTGCTTGCAGACATTAAAACACAAACTAACAAACAAAAAGTGCTTTACTTTAAACCTGATGGCTCCCATGGCAAGCCTAGCACATACCCAGAGAAAGGCATCACATTATTTGGACCCGGCTCGCCCAACGTCTGTATAGACTGGGCATTTTAGTGGGCTTGTTGGCACTTTTATCTATAGGTGATTGAATCAGCTATTAGACAAAAGCACCAAAAAGCCCCGCTGAAGTACCTGATCTATAGAGATGCTGCAGAGCCAGGTCAAACTAACACAGTGCTTCTTCCAGTAAAGCATTGTTTTTGGTTTTTTAATATCTGTGAGCAGCCCCTAAATTACCCTTGCAAAAGAAAACCTAAAACTAAGTAGCAATTATGAACAATTGCGTAGGGGAAAGGATTAGTAAAAGGCAAAAAAATATAATCCCTCAGTAGAATTATTATACACATAGATATATGCACTGTAGTTCAAATGAACTAAGAAATATTTCTTTAAAGAAAATTTACCTGGTCTAAGAGATCAAGTCGGCTGACATAGGCTCTTTCTGTATGCAAAAGCTCACTGGCAATTTTGTGAAGTTTCTGCTCATCTGTTTCCTGAAAAAATAATAATAATATAAAAAAGAAAGTCTCTTTCTTTGATGGTGCCAGGCCATTAATCATAAAAACCGTAAGATGAAAAGTAATTGTAGGATTATCTTATTTTCAGGAGGATAAATCTATTCCAGCTCCACATTTTCCCTTTTTTTTTTTTTTTTTTTTTGGTGTGCACACCCAAATTACACCAATGCAACACAAGATTCTTAGTTTACCAGGAAGTAAAAAATTAGGAGCAGGATAAAATTAAAATGGGCAGTACAGACCAACAAAGGTATACTGAGTACCAAAACACTCAAATTCCTGCCTAGTCATTTACCTACTATCCTGATAATGAAATAACTAACACGTCAAAGCTAGATTAAACTAATCTATATAATTTGCCAGATGGATTCATCTATTTTCTTTCTGTTTCTAAAATTGGCTGAACTGACTGTTCTTTGAATAAGTTAGTTTGTTATTCAAAATTACTGTACATAACATTTTATATTCAACCACTTACAGATTCTGAAGAACTGTTAGCTGCAATTAGTGAATTTAGAATTAACCCTACCTATGCAGGAACTGGATTTTTCATTTTGTAGGAAATTTAACCAATTTCCAAGTTTTCTGTTAAACAAGTCTAAAAAAAAATACAAGAGAAAGTCTTGAAGAATGCACTGCTTCTTTGGAAATTCTCACACATTTTCACAGTAGGCATCCTTGAACTGACACTCAGCTATAAAGATTTTCCTCAAAGGATGGTCTGGGGATCATTTTTGTGCAGCATTCATGAAGCTGTAGTATTATTACTATCATTTTAATAGTGCCATCTTACCCTTTCAGCGTAAGTGGACTTTAGTCCTGTGCTTTAGCAATAAAAGAAATTACACTGCTGCATCTAATGTAGCATCTAACAAAGAAAGCTGTTGCTTATAAAAGCTTATGCCTTTCTGAACAAGCTAGCCATTAAGGTGACACCCTCCCCTGCCTTCTTCAGTGCCACATGGCAAGCCTTCTCAGTATGCACAGACTTCAAATAGGACAGTCTTACCACATCAATACTGTTGCCCATAAAACAGAATTCTTACTATTAATGTAGCACAGCACAGCAGAGACCTAGAAGCAAACTCTTCATAAGCGCATTTTATAATTTACAGATAATTTTGTATCTGGAGTTACAAGGAAAGAACCTGTACTTTGTTAGTTTCTTTGCAAAAAAAATCTTTGAAAAAGCCAGTTTTGCCAAGCACTGTGGAAGAACTAATTCATGCATATTTTCAGGGGACCAATTTAGCACACATGTTCATATATTACAGAATCTAATTAAGAGAAGACAAAAAAAAGCACTCAGTGAAAGGAATAGGTTTGTTAAAGGGGAGTATCACTGCAGCATTGCCTGGAGGGCCCAAACATCATAAGCAGATATTTAGGGGTGACCTTCAAACTAGTTCAGCCCCTATGGGCCCACCACTTTCTATCTATATATTTTACCTTGCACATGCTGCACATTGTGCTTCCTGTTCCTTGAGTGAAGCCCTTTTAGGAAACACTGCACAGACTACTTGTTTTTCCTTCTGTGTTTGGCTCCAATTATTGGCAGGAGAGAGAAGCACTGTGCAGAAAGGCTGGAAGTCAGGAACAGGGAGCTGTAGGATTAGTGCTATGCATCCAGTACTACATGGATGAGTTCCAAACACACTGCAGGGAGGGGAAGCTAAAAAGAGGCTTGATCTCGGGTCAAAACTTCTGTGTTTAGCATGGACTGCAGCTGTAAAGGAGGGTTCAAGCTTAGCAGTTTCCAGGGGCAGGTGGTTGGCAGGTATGAGCTTGAGGGCACCCTTAAAGTCAATCTTAACCAACAGTGCAGACCAGTGGTTCTCACCCTTTTTAGACTTAAGGCACCCGTGCATAGGCTTGTGGATAGAATGCCAGCTCTTAGCTTTCACCCTTTTGACCACAGAAAAAAGAGGGTTTTTTGTTATGAAAAATGAAGAAAAACCGTAACTGTGGATTTCTATTTGAAATCTCCGAGTTTATCTTCTGGATTGTGTTTGCAAATACAATATTATGTGGCATTCCCAGGTACCCTTGAAAGGATCTCAAGGCACCCCAGGGTGCTGTGTCATCCTGAGTGAGAATCACTGGTGTAGACACACCCTACGAGTCTTCTACGCAAAGCATTTTGAAACATCTTCCCACTGCATCCAGCAGTACTCTGACAGAGTTTCCACTAGGCCTATGCGAGTCAGCAGCGATTCAATCCGGCTTCGGATCCAGCCGCTTCGGATGGCTGTAATCCGATCTGTAGCTCCGGACTAGGTTTCTGCTTCGATCCAGCTGAAGCGGCTCCGAAGCTTCGGAGCCCCCTCGGAGATCCGGCCATAGGGTATAATGGGGAATCAATGAAATAGCTATAACTTTGTTGTTTTCTGTCCGATTTGGATGAAATTTGTAGGGATGGTAGACTCTGCTGAGAGCATGAAGCCTGACAAATTTCAAGAAAATTGGTGCAGGGGTTTTGGGGGAACTGTACCCCAAATTCATGAAAGCAAAACTCCTGTCATGTCTATGTGCTATGACACAGAGGGGTCAAAACTGCAGGGGTGGTGGCCCCTGGTAAGGCCATGAAGCCTGCCAAATGTCAAGAAGATTGGTGCAGGGGTTTGGGGGGAGCTGCACCTCAAGCTGCGAACAAGCAAAACTCATGACATGGGTGACATTGCATGTGTTAAGGCTCAGCGGGGTGACAGCTGCAGGGATGCTGGTCCCTGCTGCAGCCACAATGCCTGCCAGCTGTCGAGGAGATTGGTGCAGGGGTTCTGGGGCCCTGCACCTCTAGCTGCTGACAGGCGAAACTCGTGCCATGGGTGCTTGTGCAACTGTGTCTGTCTTGTGGTATTTGATTATCTGTATTGAATATTTCCTCTCCTTAGTCCTGGTTTTGTAGGTGTTAATTGATGGTAATTAACTGACTATATTATCTAGCAACTGTGTATTAAGCTGGTCCCTGAGTGAATCATGATTGATTGGTAACTGGTAACACAGTAGCTTAGCAGGCAGGCCTGCAGTAGTGTCTTCTACGCCCCAGAGACAGTCAGTCCCACAAGCACCCATCTCATGCATTTTGCCTGTCAGCAGCTAGAGGTGCAGGGCCCCAGGAGCCAGAACCCCCCTGCACCAATCTCCTCAACAGCTGGCAGGCTTTGTGGCCGCAGCAGGGGCTACCATCCCTGAAGCCTTCACCCTGCTGAGCCTTAACACACACAGTGTCACCCATGACACAAGTTTTCCTTGTTTGCAGCTTGAGGTGCAGTTCCCCCCAAAGCCCTGCACTGATCTTCTTGAAAATTGGCAGACTTCAGTTTCTCTGCAGAGTCTACCTTCCCTGCAAATTTCATCCAAATAAGACAAAAAACAACAAAGTTATAGATATTTTACTGATTCCCCATTATACCCTATGGCCAGATCTCCGAGGCCGCTCCGAAGCTTTTCTGAAGCGCTTCAGAAGCTCCAAACCGCTTTGGAAAGCTTAACAAAGCCAGCGCTTTGACCTGGACATGCTTCTCCAGATCCGAAGCAGGGTCCGAAGCCTCACACAGCCCTAGTTTCCACATCCTTTCATCATCTACCCCCACATTCCCTTAAGCATCCTAAACCCTGGGCTTCCTCAGTCTTCTGTTGTACTCTATATCCTTCTCAGAGCATGTCTACTCAAAGAGGATTATAAGTATAACGGTACCACTATCATGGTTTTTCTGGTAGAGTTGGATGCTCTTGTTTCAGAAGAAGGAAACAGACCCATGAACTTGCTGCCTAAAGATAAACCCGAGTAAGATTTCAAGCAGAGCAGGTAAGCACCTATATGTATGCTTTTACCCCATGATAAACTGAAACTAAATCAGTGGCAGCAGTAGTTTATCCCTCAATGAAACAGGGATAAACTATTAGGCTAAACTTAAGTTAAGAGTGTGCACAAGGGCAATTACCTCAAGGCAGCTGCCCCTTACCATCATTTAGCTTGCATTAACTTGTTCATGTGCCTTGGACCCAAGAGTGTCCACGTGGGGACCACTTTCAGTATAATTGTAAAGATATCACTGTACCACTGTTGTTTCCCATGTAAACAAACCCATAACTTCCCAGCACACCATATCATTTTCCCCATTTCCTGTACTACAACCCACATTCCAACCCTCAAGTCTACCACCGACATCCCATCTTACCTCCCCTTCGCTTTTGTGCTCCTGTTCTGAGGACAATGGCAGAGAAAGTGTGGTGGGGTCTTTACAGGCAGCAGTGGTGTAAAACTGGTTTGCATTCTGGCAACCCACTGTTTCCGTATCAGGGCACATATTTGCCTAGGCATGAAAACAGGACTTGAAAGTCACTCTTGGGCCAATGAGTCCAGTCACCTACATTGACATGTGATAATTTACCCAAGTAATCACCAAAATCACCAGTTCAAACCCTCAGAAACAACTGCAAACCCTCAGAAACAACCCTCAGAAACAACCCAGTTCTGGGTGCCGCACTTCAGGAGGGATGTGGCCAATATGGAGAGGGTCCAAAGGATGATCATGGGTCAGCAGTCCCTACGAGGAGAGGCTGAGGGACCTGAACCTGTTCAGCCTCCAAAAGAGAAGGCTGAGAGGGGATCTAGTGGCAGTCTACAAACTAGTCAAGGGGAACCAGCAGGCATTGGGAGAGTCCCTGTTCCCCCGAGCAATCCTGGGAGTTACAAGAAACAACGGACACAAGCTAGCGGAGGATAGGTTCAGGCTAGACATTAGGAGGCACTATTTCACTGTCAGGGCGGCTAGGACCTGGAACCAACTTCCAAAAGAAGTGGTGCTGGCTCCTACCCTGGGGGTCTTTAAAAAAAGGCTGGACAAACATCTGGCCAGGGTCGTTTGACCCCAGTACTCTTTTCTGCCACAGCAGGGGGTCAGACTAGATGATCTCCTCAGGTCCCTTCCGACCCTACCAACTATGAAACTATGCTGGCAATGCCCTGCCGC